TACTGTTAAAGATACCAAGCTAAAGAAAATTTCAATTTATTTTTTTTTTTTTGCAATTAAAATATTTCAATTAAAGCAATTTTTATATATGAAATGTACGGAGTATTCAACTGCATCCAGCAAAATCCACAGCGGCTTAAAGGAAGCTATCTTTGTTGTTAGCATGGTTTAGTGCAGGTTTTAGTGCACATTTCTGATGTGACTGTGCACAATGACTACTCGTATTATGTAGAGTGGATCAATGAGATTTAATATACAAACATTGACTTCACTTAACACAGAAGTACGAGTGCATACACAAAAGAATCAACAATTTGTGTTTAACAGTGAATTTCAAAGGAAATTGTTGGAAATTACAAAATTAAATCACAGATTTAAGTCCGCTTAGTTGTGTTTAATCCCCTAGAGATGCTGACTTAGCGCTGGTATCAATAGCCACAAACAACGCGCACTCAACAACAAAAAAGTAAATCTTTTCAATCGGTTCAGTAGCAAGCATAACTCAACGAAGCCATCATGCCTTGGGCATAAATGAACGATATGCAGTGGATTAAGCCTATAAATCTGTTTATCTTTTATTATAAATTCATTTTTAAATTTAAATATATGACATTAACATAAAAGCATTATAATAACAATTATAAAATACCATACCGCATTGCACAAAACTATTGATTGACCAAATCAAAGCATGGCAACAACATAAGAAGCCAACCAATGCAGTAAAATAAAAGACTTAAGCAACAAACTGGAAGTATTACTTATCAAACCAGCAATATTAAGCATTTTCATTAATATCTATGATTTTCCCATAAGTATCATTTACAATAATGAATTTTTTCATAGTATTAATTATTATCGATTAAATCAGTTAAAGCAACAGCTTCAGCGGCAAAAGCTTTAACAGCAACATGCCAGCAACACATACAATACAATAGTTGCCGTTTTGTGTTGCGGTTAATATTTTTACTTCTGCAACATTTGAGTCACTGTGCATAGTAAGCGCAACAATTAAGCAATTAATTATTGCTTATATATTTACTTTCCTTTTTTATAGAAAATTTTTATTAATTACGATAAAAACGTAAAAATTATTTCTATATTGGTTTTACTTCAACCTCTGAAATTGTTAGGTTCGGATATAACAGAAAGCCTAAAGCCCAAGTAGGCATATTGGCTCATAAGGTTATGCTACAAACACGAAGAACTTAAAAACTT